TCCACCAACTGAGAGGATCTTGTGGTTTGCCTTGGCTGTCTTTTCTTGGCAGAATCGGTTCAGCCAAATATTTATCTAATTCTATTATGGCACTTGCCAATTGGCTTTGTGGCCGTGTAAATTGTTGAATTTGATTGTCAAAATCCTTCCAAATTAAATCAAATTTTTCTTCAACATTGCTACATTGAACCTGCTGACTTTCATTTGCCTCAGCAATTTCAATCTCCTGGTTTGCAATGGAAATGTTTGCTACTTTTGAATACAATTTGTCTACAGCACTTTTGTAAGAGAGTTCATTTATGAAGCCAAATTTTTTTAAACGAGGATCTAAAATTGTTGCCTGTGCTATTAGCTCATTTGTTTCAATATCCTTAAATCTATCATTTAGTTAATGAACTAGCTTCTGGACCATCTTTTGTACTGAGCAAGACAGTTCTTTAATGGCAAAAGATTGCAAGTGTTTTTTTAGCTGTTTGACATAAAGCATTATAGAAGAAGCGCTAACATGTTTCTCCTGACTTACTAATGTAGTGATGCATTGAAAAATTTCCATTACCTTCACAACTTCCGCTACAATCAGCCACTCTTCGTTATTTAAAGGAGCAATACCCTTCACAAATTCGTNACAGTTCTTTAATGGCAAAAGATTGCAAATGTTTTTTTAGCTGTTTGACATAAAGCATTATAGAAGAAGCGCTAACATGTTTCTCCTGACTTACTAATGTAGTGATGCATTGAAAAATTTCCATTACCTTCACAACTTCCGCTACAATCAGCCACTCTTCGTTATTTAAAGGAGCAATACCCTTCACAAATTCGTCTCTGACCTGCATAGACGACTTCACTAAAGCTAAGGTTGCTATCACAGCATCTTTGAGTTTTAAAAATCGCTCCAACATTTCGTACGTTGAATTCCATCGCGTAACAACATCATTTATTAACTTTAACATGGGAATCTGCATGCTTTCTGATGTACTTTTGAGCTTGGCGTATGCATAGGAGCTTTTTTTAAAAAAACCAACTATAGATTTAACCTTATCTAATACCGCCTGAATTTCTGTTAAACCTGCCTGTGCAATCAAATTTAAAGTGTGTGCGAAACAGCCCCAATGCCGCCAACCACCATCACGTACTGCAGCCTTCATATTTGCGGCGTTATCGNACATCATTTATTAACTTTAACATGGGAATCTGCATGCTTTCTGATGTACTTTTGAGCTTGGCGTATGCATAGGAGCTTTTTTTAAAAAAACGAACTATAGATTTAACCTTATCTAATACCGCCTGAATTTCTGTTAAACCTGCCTGTGCAATCAAATTTAAAGTGTGTGCGAAACAGCCCCAATGCCGCCAACCACCATCACGTACTGCAGCCTTCATATTTGCGGCGTTATCGGTCACTATAACCGCAATTTTATTTGCTATTCCCCACTCGTCACATATCTCACGCAGCTTATTTTTGATGTTTTCTCCGGTATGACGGTCAGCATATGAAACACAGGTAATCAGATCTGATGCCAAAAAAGTTCGCTCGCTGCTTTCCGATATATAGTGCGCAGTAACGCTATAGAAGCTATCGTGTACTCGGGAGGTCCATCCATCAACTGTTAGACATATTGCAAAGGCCTTACTTACACGATTTTTGACGGCTTCCAATGTTTCCTTGTAGGCCGCTGGAATGAGTGATGTGGACAGTGTTTTCCTTGTAGGAAGCTTGTAGTTCGGATTTAACATATTAATAAATCTTTTAAACTCCGGATCCTCCACAATACTAAAAGGCTGATATTCTTTCACCACCATTTTTACCAACTGGTTGTCGATATTGCGCTGTTTTGTCATCGGAAGTGGCCTTTCGAAGTACCGACTAATTGTCCCAGCTCGTGAGGAGGTATTTGAAGGCCTCGCATCATGTACCAATTCTCGCACTCCAGGTTGTGACGCAGAATTGTTGTTTTCATCAGATACGTTGCTCACTGATGTCTCACATTCTTGTAACCCCTGCCTTGTAATTATTTGCGTCGGATGTCTTTTGTTTAAATGGCGAATAAGTCCACATGTCGACCCGTTGGAAACCGATAACACTTGGCCGCAAAAAAGGCATTTCACTTTCTTCTCTTTTTCTTCAGAGAAATGAAGCCATACATTGCTTTTCTTTTTAGACATATCACGAGCTTTTTTAAACACGTTAACAATATATGTACGTATGTACAATACCTTTACTTCAATTGATACGTAGGAACACCAATATTATTTTTTAATTAGCACCTACATTTGTGCACTCCCAGCAAACATTTGGAGTCATAAATGAGTCTTATGAGTATGTATGTATGTGTTTGTAAGGCGCCAGGCAAAAGATAACGTTCGGATGAAACAGCTCCTGTGGAAAGCGCAGAATTAGAATTTTACTTCAAAATTAGTTAAAGAATTAAGTTACTTACTTCCAAAAGAGCACGGTTACACAGAATCAACGTATTGAATGAAAATCTTATTGAAAAACGTTCGCGGAAAACACAACTGAAAATGCGCCAATATACCCACAAAAATTAGCGACGCACAATTCGGCA